CATTAAATTCCAGTGAAATATATTTATGTTTGTGGTTGTAATGTGACAAAATATGGAAAAGTTCAAGGGGTATGAATACTTTTGCAAACCACTTTCCCGCTGCTGTTATTTTTCAACCTTTTTGAACTGGAAACAGTTTGACCCTGTGTAAACTGTGCAGTGTTTATCACAGGAAAAGGAGCAAGTCCACTCTCAGGTCCCCTTATGTAACGTCATTTCTGTCATCTGGCCTGGACTGTAGCGCTCACATGTTGGTTTTTTAATGTCAGAATTTACAGAGAATTACCTTCAGTTTGAAGAAAAGAAATTGAAAGGAGAAAGCAAAGAAAGCTCAACAAAAGAAGTTTGTCATAACAGATATAGTATTTGTGACATGTTGTGATGGAAATAATCATGTACCTCTACTAACTGCAGGTGGAGTCTGGAAGGTTGAATGCGATGAAGAGTTCCAATAAAAGGAAGAGCCCGTGGTCCTGGAGGGAAGTTTTTTGGTTTTCTGTTCTTCAAAATGTCACTGAGCAGAAGAAAAACACAGAGAAATACTAAAATACTCCTGGTGTCTAACCACTCCAAACCCAGAATACTGTATATCGCCTCCATGTCCTGGTTTAGCAGCACTGCTACAGTTTCAGCTCAGTCAGGTGAGTTGTCATAATAAACTGCAGCACGTGCATGTCTTTCAAATTAAAGGCACTTGTGCACATGCGCACTGACTCAGTGTCCTATGATCAAAGATCAATGTTATTTATGTGGGGAAAATGTCAGAGAAAAGCTGTTACTGTTTAACACATACTATCATCACTAAATATTGACGTGATTACAATAAACTGTCAGTAAAAAACTGAATAATAAAGTAATAAAGATGTTTAAAGTTTTCATTTATAATCTAAAAAATGTGAACAAGTGATAAACATAATCTTTCAAGTGGGGTTTAGTGGAAAGATTAAGAATAATTTTAATCCAACCTGCTTTAAGTAGTTCTTTGAACAACCTCCGGTTAAAGAAATGTAATTTAATAGAGTTTAATTCTGACAGGATTAATGAGTTTATGTGAATGTTACTTTATTAACCTGTACACCACTGTCAGTTACAGGTACATGATTAGGAATTCTTGACACATTTCTGTGGTCAGCTCATCAAAAATGATGTACTGGCACATTCCTCTCACCACCGTTTAAATGTTTTCTTTTGCTCACTTGAACATTTTTATGCAGTACCTTGGCAGGTTCCTTTAGCGGAAATATTTAGAAAGATCTAATGTTTTTACAAACTGTGTCTTCAACAACCATACAGTGAGTTGTGCTGCAGTAAACCATTTACTGAAAGCTTCAACTTTAACACTGATTTTGATAAAGTAGTTAGTAGACGAGAGTTCAGTAGAACCCACTCCTTGTGCCCTTTAAACATGATTCTGTTAGCAGATAGTTGATACACTGCCAGCTCCAGCCTTGTTTTTCTTTTTTCTTTTTCTTTTTTCTTTTCTCAAAGGTCCAGAGAGGCCATTAGTGTTATGTAACATTCCAGGTCCATTTTTCCCCCTCCTATTCATGCACTCTTTACCCAGTTAGCGTCAAACTCTGCAGCCTGCCTGCAGGATACAACTTGAGTTACTTCTTCGACTGACCTGTTGAAATAAAAACTCCACCATGATTTTTCAAGGACTTTTGGATCGACTTGACTTCACCAGTTGGTTGTTGTTGGGTTTTCTGCTCCTGATTTTAATTGATGTGGTGAAAAACTGGGCTCCTCACAACTTTCCCCCTGGACCCTGGGGTGTTCCTTTTCTTGGCAACATCTTCACTGCTGTTGATTTTAAATCCTTGGAGAAGGTGAACTGAACAATGAAACTCTGCTGTGTGTGTGTGCATGTAGAGAAGTATAGAACTGTTTTTGCTTTAAAGCTTTACAGAATTTTCTTAGAGACACCAGAATTGTTGACATGAAGAAAAAGCGTTACATTATTGTAAATCAGATCTTTGTATTTAATAAAAAGACTTAACAGTTTCATAAAACCAATTAACAAAATTTGTTTAGAACAATTAAATATTGTAACAATTACTCATTACATAAATGAAGCTTTATTTCTTTAGCAATACTAACATCATTATCAGGTACTTCCTTTCTTAAGATGCAAATTTTTCCCTCCAAATGCAGCTTACACAGAAGTACGGCCCTGTGTTCAGCCTGAGGAAAGGCAGTGAGAGGTATGTGTTTATTTCAGGGTACAAGATGGTCAAAGAGGCTCTGGTTAATCAGCTGGACAGCTTTATGGACCGACCCATTGTTCCTCTCTTCCACATTATCTACAATGGCCTGGGTGAGTGGGTGAACTCTGACTGCTTTAAGCCTGCTCTCTGTACAAATATTTGTACTGAAATAATTTTATGTCTATTCTTTGATGTCACATTCTCACAGGTATTGCTTTGAGCAATGGTTACTTATGGAAGAAGCAGAGAAAGTTTGCCACTAGTCATCTACGTTACTTTGGAGGGGGACAAAGGAGTCTGGAGAAATACATTGAAGTGGAGTGCAACTTTCTCTGTGAGGCCTTCAAAGAGGAACAAGGTAAATAAACAGTTTTTGATGTTACTGAATTGTTTTATTTGCTTCATGTGATTCACTGACTTGAATTTAATTCCCATTATTTCCAGAAAGACCATTCAATCCCCACTACATGATGAAAAATGCAGTGAGTAACATCATCTGCTCTGTGGTGTTTGGACATCGATTTGAATACACAGATCCAAGCTTTCGCAGATTTCTGGAGTTGGACAATGAAGCCATTGTTCTCTCTGGCTCACTTCAAGCTCAGGTGATTCTTTTTTAAGTGTTGTGTTTTAAAAAATGAAAACGTATTTTTTGTTTGTCCCTGACTGATCTGATAGTTTATCCCATCAAACAGCTGTATGATGTATTTCCTGGCTTGATGACGTACCTGCCAGGACCACACCAGACGGTCCACTCAAACTATAGGGAGATCCTCTCCTTTTTGAAGACGGAAGTACAGAAACACCAGGAGGAGTGGAACCCAGATGATCCTAGAGATTATATTGATGTGTACTTGGCAGAGATGAAAAAGGTAACATGGTTCATGCATTACAGTTCTTTTGAAATTGATAGTTTTTTCTCTGTAATCTGGTTTCCTCCCACAGACCAAAAACATGACTGTTAGATTAATTGGTAACTCTAAATTGCCCCTGGGTGTGAGTGAGAGAGTGAACGGTTGTCTGTCTTGTTTGTCTCTATGTGGCCCTGTGATGGACTGTACCCCACCACTCATACTGTGACTGCTAAATATGGGCACCAATGACCCCCAGGACCATGAAAGTTTCAGGTGCAGGTTTTGTACCGAGGATTATATATGTCCAGGAAACATAAGTACCTAGAAATTTAGGGATAAGTGTGCTGGATGAAACACAGAAATCTGGAAATTCGTCATTCATATGTTTCCTGGTACAATACCTCCACTGTAATTCAGTATTCTTTGATTTGTATTAGAAAACATTTGAATGGTGATCCAAGCACCTTTTCTGACTTTCATTATTAACCAAGGACCAACACAGGTATCAGGAAACATACTGTGGGTGTTGAAAACCATTTAAAACTCTATACATGAGCATTATTACAATGTATTGTGTTATGACCCCAGGCCCTACTTCCTGGGTTTGTGTGTGTGTGGGTGTGTGACTTTCCAGTACATCCAGTGATTAGGAGCTAATTGGAGAAAGGAGACAGCTAGCCAGAGTCTCCTGTGGAATTTATTTAAAAGCAATCTTCACCAGAGAGAGAAGAAGATCCCCCGTTCTCTTTTCTATGTTAACATTTGGCTTAGTTGAAAATAAGAACGAATTAAATTGTTCCTGTGTCATTCCCCTTTATTTGTTATGGTCTTTGACCCAGGCCATAACGAATTGGGTAATCTTCTGTGATAGAACTAAAACAAAGTGGGGGCTTGCCCGGGATACAGGCCATAACAAATGGAACAAGTAATTTCCGTATTGAAAATACATTATTTTGTATTATTTTGAATAAATTTGTAGATTAAATTAGAAATGTAATGTGTATGTAACTTGTGTAGCTTACAGTTAAATTCAGCTGTTTAAAATCCTTGTGGCTGGTTTAGTCCACAATTTATCCCACCCCTATGTTGGACTTACCCAAAAAATCACCAAAAATCTGGTCATTTTTTACCATTACTTAGAGTTGCCTCACTTTATCCAGATCCAGTTGTCATAAAACAATATGTTCTGAAATGTTTACTAACTGAAAGGAGACTGTAAATGAAATCAAAAGGCGAAAGAAGTTTTAATAGAATCAGTTAGTTGCAAATAAACCTTCACCTGACTGGTTTAGATCCCTTGATTCTTTCATCTCTAAATTCCTTTGGAAAAATAAACCCCCACGTATTAGTCTAAAAACACTACAGAAAACTAAAGATAAGGGAGGACTAGATCTTCCCAACTTCTACCTCTACTTCATGGCCAACAGATTACA